CATCACAGGCGCGACTTGGGAACTAGGCCGAAACCCTAAAACTCATCGTAGCCGGCTTGCTCCTGGAAGAACTCGTCATCAGCAGGATCCGCTTCATCTTCTTCAGCAACTGGGGGGGATTATTTATATAGAGCAAGGGTGAGTACGGGAGTACTCAGCAAGCCATGGGAAATAAGTGTTTAATGCAGGCTTCAAGGAAAGGCTGTTGTTTTTGCAGTTGATTTTATTTGAACTCTTTTCTAAAAACAACTAAGTGAGTGCTTCTCAAACGACACGGATGAGACAGTGTGTCTCGTCTGGTCGGAGTATGTGTAATGTATCAGTCTTTAGAATTGATTCAAGGTTGGCACCCGGCCAACAGCTTTTCAAACGGCCACCCGGGCCAACAACTTTCAAACGGCCACCCGGGCCTAGCTGATCCCATCAGCTGCAGATTTTTCAATCATCGAACCCCTTTCTACAACAGCAATTTCACAAGCAGTAGTCAAACAAAACTACGCTAGGAATCACCTCACATCCGCCCATGACCGTGGGCACGGCTGTTCAAACAGTTTGTTAACCTCTGCAGAGGGGGTACACTTTACCCACACGACATTACTAACCCGGATCACCCAGCCCGTGGGAATCAGCCACGTCGGGAGACCTCCAAGCTTTCATGACAAGGCATTTCCAAAGCCGACACAGGTTTACCATATGCCGACGAGAGGGGTCCCAGACCAACAACAGGTTAGGTCCCAGACCATACTGTGCCAGGAAGCCCAGGGGTCCTCCCCGACACCACCCCGGCGAATCCACATGTCTCTCGGCATCAAGGCTCCCCTGATAAGCTAGTTACTCAGCCAGGGGTGTCCCATTCCACCCATGTGGTCGTACTTGTCTTATGTTTGGATGAAATTCCAAGGAAACGGTCCTTAAGTGCGAGAGCGGGAAACCGTACACCCGGTAAGTTCCCCGGTCCGCGGTTTTCGAAATTTATTTAGTTCGCAAGCACCGACCCAGGTGTCGGGTTTTCCAAGTCTTTTGTAAAACCCAAGTTTTACCCAAGTTGTTATTCAGATTTTAAGTTTGAAGGCGTCCGTCGATATTCGCACAGGGTGCACGAATATCGAGACGCAACTAGATGGTTACAAGGGGACATGATATAACAATTAACAAAGGAAGGATCAAATGCAATAAATTAGGTAGGTCCGCCAATCTGCCTTGCAGACGGGACAACAGATTAAGTGCGATCCTATCAATGCATAATATTTTTCAAGCAACATAATTAAATTTCAAATATAGGCTCAAGATGTTCAAAGGTGGCTTGCCTTGCTCGAGATCTGGAGCTTGACCCTCGAAATCCTCGCACTGCGGGTCTTCGGTCTCCGAAACTACACGCGAAACGGGACAACTCAACAAACGGCGAAAATAAAGCTCTATTAATGACCTCTAAGCGTGCCATTAGATAGATCTCGAGATTTGAGGAATTTTGGAAGTTGAACGGAGTCAAACGGATTTACGGTTGGGAAGATATTGAATTTCTAAGATTATTGGATTTTTGGTCTAAAGGAAAAGGATTTAATTAAATCCTTTTTGGAAAAGAAAAGAAAAGAAAAGAGGGAGGGAATATAGACTTTTCCTCGGCGGCTAGGGCGCGGCCCGAGAGAAAAGGGGCGGCTCGGCCGAGCTAAATGGGCCGGCCGGCCCAAGGCGGCCCAAGCACGCGCGCGCGGGAAGGGAGGAGAGAGAGAGCCGGTGGACCGGGCTCACCACGCGTGGTCCCGGGTGGGACCCGCTTGTCGGTGACTCGGTTCACCGTGCGGAGCGAGCACGCGGCGCACGCGCGCGGCCGGGGCTGGGACGCGGTGCACGCGCGCGGTTCGCGGTGGAATGGATGCGGCGGGCCCACGCGCAGCCTCACGGCTCGCGGTGGAACGCGCGCACGGGAGGGGCTGACCGGGGTCGGCCCGACCCGATCTCGGCCGAGCTGGCGCCGACGTGGCGCCTACGTGGCGCCTACGCGGGCTGGCGGGAGGAAGACGAAGGCGCCGGCCGCGAATGGACGGCGGGCGGCGGCGGTTTCTCCGGGACGCCTTGCGACGATGAGGGGCGACGGGGCGTACACCGGGATGACGAGGGAGAATGAGAGGGAGCGAGCCAACGGCTTGGATTCGCCGGAGGGTGTCCGTCGGCGGCGGATTGCGGCGGCGGCACCCGGCGGAGAGAAAAGGGTGAAACGGCGACGAGGTCACGAGGGGCCAATTCCCGGCGGTGAGAGCATCTACGCGGTTACGGGAATCCGTTGCTAGCGTCGGATTGGGCGGAGCTACGCCGAGCGAGGTCGGCGACGAGCGGGTGCTACGGAGCACGGGCGGCGACGGCGGCGAGCACATGGCGAGCGGCGGCAACGGTTGGGGCGGCGCCGGCTAGCTACGGGGAGGCTACACAAGCTACTACCGAAAACTAAGGGGGGGAGATGGAGCGAGGAGGAAGAACGGAGGGAGGCACTACCGTGCGGGCGGGGCGCAGTGACGAGAGGCCGACGGCGCGGGAGTAATCTCTCCGGCCTCGGGCCGGGGAAGAGGAGGAAGACGAGCGCCCGGAGTCCCCTTCCGCGTCCACGAACGCACCGGCTCTCCCTGCGCTTGGCGATGAACGGCGGAGGCGAGACAGAGCTCGGAAGGCTACGGCAACGGCGCGGACGAGAAACGGGGAGGATTGGGGGGGAGAAGAGGAAGGGAGGGCGCCTGGGCTTACAGGGCGGCAATGTCGGTTTGGAAACCGACTTTGGGCGGTCAAGGCGCGAGCTGGCACTCGGCGCTCGCGGCCAAATCGGCGACAGGGCGGAGGGAGGATGACGCCGGCGGGAGGAAAAGGGGAAAAGGAGGGAGAGAAAGGGGGCTCGCCCCTTGCTTCTTTGGGAAAAGGAGGAGGGGAGCAGGGGCGTCGCGGCAGAGGGAGGAGGGGCTCTGCCTCCGTCCCTTGGCGGCTTGCGCTCGGAGTGGCGGGGCCGAGGCGATGACGACGGCGATGACGGCGGGGCGGTTTGGAGCGAAGCGGCGACATGGGCGACAGGCGCGGGCAGGCGCTGACGACGGCGGCGACCAGGCGGTCGGCCACCACGGCACGCGCGCGCGGCTTGCAACGGGAGTCGCGGCGGATTGAGTGGCGCGGCTCGGGCACGCGCGCTGGCTCGCGGGGCCGAGCGGCTGCGCAGCTGCAGGCGGCAGGGCAGCGGGACCGGGTGACGCGGACGGCGCAGACGGCGCGGCACGGGCGGCAACCACGCGGGCGCGCGCAAGAACAACGGCGCGCGGGGGCCGGCTTCGCGGGTGGGGAGCTCGCCAGGGATGGGGAGAAGGAGAGCGAGGGGGAGGGGGCGCTCGGCGCGGCGCTCGAGCACGCGCGGGCAGAGCGAGGGGAAGGGAGAGGGAGAGAGAGAGAGAGAGAGAGAGAGCGCCGGGAGGGAGGGGGAGATGGGCCGAGAGAGATTCGGCCCATCGACCCCGGGGGAGGCAAAATAGACTTTTGCGGAGGGATTTGATTTGGAAGGATTTGGATTCGGGATTGAACTCGACGATAGATCGGGGATTCGAGATCTGAGATGGCACGGACACTAGACAACAAGCAAAGAAACAAATTCGCAATTAGGGTTTTTAAGAGATAATTTTCCCGCTAGGCGCCACGACGGAACGGGCGCTACAGGTTGATAGGTATGATTCGGTTCTTTAGCCACCAGTACCCCACTTACCCATGGGTAAAAAAAAGGTGTGCCTAAGGTAATAGCTCTAATCCAGTTTATATGAGATTGATATGGAAAACCATATAGTACAAAGACAACAGATGAATCCGGCGTTACTGACGAGATCCTTGTCGAGATGGTTAGACGAGATCTCCCGACGAATCTGGCTTCGTAAACTATGGTGGGTATGTTAGCGCTATAATTCGATGATCTGAACCCCTTAGGGGGTGTGTCTTTTATAACGTGAGTTGCCTTAGTCTCCAAGTAGATCTTGGAGAGAATGAACCCTACACGATATAGAATAGACCCAATTCTCTCCGAGTAGGACTCTGTTAATCACCGGCCTATGAGGATATTTTCTATAATATCTTATAGATTTCCTTATCACCTACGGTCGTATGACCGATGGTATACCATACTCGTATATTCCGTAAGTCATAGGATATGAGGTATGCCTTATCCGTAACCAGTCGTATATGACATAATTCTTACATGATTTTTTACTTGCTTTTGAATGTTAATGTTAAAACTAAGGTTGCCTAATATGATGTTGGTGCTTGCCATCGTCATCATCGGATTATTGTAAAAAATTTAAGTGCTCTAAATTAGTGTAGTGGTATGGATATCCATTACCTGTATGGGTATGGTTTGGGGAGAATTTTGCACCCGCGGTTAGATGTGGGTATTAGAGCGCGAACTTTTAATCATAAGTTTGAGTATGAGGTAAGAAAACTTGCAGTAGAATTATAGTTCATGTGGATCAATTTATTTGTGTACTGAAGAGAAGAGAGTTGTACCAAAGGTAACCTAGTAACCAGATTATTTGAGCAGGCGACCAGGCATGAGGCATCCACTGTCTAGCTTTAGTAGTACTACTATTGATCAAGTCAATGTAACAATATGTTTGGTAGCATATGATGTATTCTTGATCAGCAAAGACGTATTCTTGAGCTGCAAGCCGATGCATATCAAAGAAATGAATACAATGAGTTCCACTTACCATCTTGGGACCAACAAATATCTTTTAATCTCTCTGAACCAGAGACCACCATTAAATTAGACGAGCTTCAGAATCTTCTAGTTCTTTCGGCGAGGGGAATGGATTGACCTTAAAGGAAGTGGATTGACTTTGATTCTCTCAACAATCTCAAATTCCAGAAACATGATTACAATGTTCGTAACACACGAGAGAATCGATTCGTCCAGCCGAACGACTTCCATCTTCACCAGCTATAAAAAAGCCGAGAAATCCAGGTGCTCAGCACAGTGGTCCAGATCACTTGCGCCATCACAAGTCGCAAGCCAAAACCATCTCGCTCGAGCTCACCATGGAATTCTCCTCGAGTTCAACCTCTCTCTTCCTCCTCCTCTCTATCCTGCCTCTCCTCTACTTTCTTTGCCAGCGCAACGACCCCAAGAAGCAGCCTCACGCCCATGGGCTCAAGTCCTACCCCGTCGTCGGCATAGTGCCGCACTTCACCAAGAACAACGACCGCTTCCTTGAGTTTACAACCGAAATCATGAAGCGGAGCCCCACGCAAACCATGTCGTTCAAGGCTCTAGGTCTCACCGGCGGCGGCGTCATCACCGCCAACCCGGCCAATGTCGAGTATACGCTGAAGACTAACTTCGGTAACTACCCCAAGGGCGAGCTCGCCGTGTCCATGGTCGTGGACTTCCTCGGCCATGGCATCTTCAACTCCGACGGCGAGCAGTGGCAGTGGCAGCGGAAGGCCGCCAGCTACGAGTTCAACAAGCGCTCGCTGAGGAACTTCGTGGTGGACACCGTCAGGTCCGAGGTCGTCGAGAGGCTGCTGCCGCTTCTGGAGCGGGCGGAGCGCGACGGCCGGACGCTGGATGTGCAGGACGTGCTGGAGCGCTTCGCGTTCGACAACATCTGCCAAGTCGCCTTCGACGAGGACCCGGCTTGCCTCGCCGAGGACAGCATGGCCTCGCCCCAGAGCGCGGAGTTCATGCGCGCGTTCAACGATGCGCAGATTGCCGTGAGGGACCGGTTCATGTCGCCGGTCAAGTCGCTGTGGCGCTTCAAGAGGCTGTTCAACATGGAGCCCGAGAGGCGAATGCGGGAGGCGCTCGCCACGATCCACGGCTTCGCCGAGCGGATCGTCCGGGAGCGCAGGGAGAGAGGGAAGGCCGGACTGGCGCGCAGTGACGACTTCCTCTCGCGCTTCGCCGCGAGCGGCGAGCACAGCGACGAGAGCCTCCGCGACGTGGTTACAAACTTCCTCCTCGCCGGGCGCGACACGACGTCGTCGGCGTTGACCTGGTTCTTCTGGGTACTGTCCGGTCGGCCCGACGTGGAGGACAAGATCGTACGCGAGATCCACGCGGTGCGGCGCGCGTCCGGTAGCACAAGCGACGCGACGTTCAGCTTTGATGAGCTGCGTGACATGCAATACCTCCATGCCGCCATCACGGAGTCTATGCGGCTGTACCCACCCGTGGCCATGGACACGCACAGCTGCAAGGAGGACGACTTCCTGCCGGATGGCACGTTCGTGGGGAAAGGGTGGCTAGTGACGTACTGAGCGTACGCGATGGCACGGGTGGAGGACATCTGGGGCGCGGATTGTGAGGAGTTCAGGCCAGAGCGGTGGCTAGACGAGGTCGGCGCGTTCCGGCCGGAGAGCCCGTTCAAGTACCCGGTGTTCCACGCGGGGCCGAGGATGTGCCTCGGCAAGGAGATGGCCGACATACAGATGAAGTCCATTGTAGCATCTGTGCTCGAGAGGTTCAGTCTCCAGTATGCCGGCGGCGAGGGACACCCGGGGCTCGTGCTCTCGGTGACGTTGCGCATGAAGGGCGGTTTGCCGATGCAAGTGGCCACGAGAGGTTGATGACCGGAGCGTGCTGCTACACTTGTGGACTTCGTTTTTACAGAACTAGTGGCACGCGAGATTGCATGGCTAGCATAACAACATATATATTTTTATATTTTATTGTTAAAATATGTTAAATGTATATAATTCTAAGTTATGTAATAATTTCACTTTCAGTTATTTCTAAATTCTTCCAATATTCCTTCATTTCTATTTTCTAATTTCCGTTATTTCTAAATTATATTTCTATATGTACTACTATATACTCTACTTTTATTTTTTATTTCAATTCCTATTTTCAGGTAGTACTGAATTTCTATATGGACTCTAGATACTTCTTCCAAATATTCCTTATTTTTGTTTCTAAAATTCTATTATTTATAATTGTATTTTTATATGGACTCTAAACTCATCTCTCAATATTCTTTTTTTTTAATTCTGAGTTTCGGTTATTTCTAAGTTGTATTTCTTTATGGACTCTAGCCTCTTATTCTAATATTCATCATTTTTTAATTTTGAATTTTTGTTATTTCTAAATTGTATTTCTATATGTACTCTAAACTCTACTTTTGTAGCGCCCGTTCCGTCGTGGCGCCTAGCGGGAAAATTATCTCCTAAAAACCCTAATTGCGAAATTTGTTTCTTCGCTTGTCGTCTAGTGTCCGTGCCATCTCAAGATCTCAAATCCCCGATCTATCGTCGAGTTTAATTCCGAATCCAATCCTTCCAAATCAAATTCCTCCGCAAAAGTCTATTTTGCCACCCCAGGGTTCGATGGGCCGAATCTCGCTCGGCCCATCTCCCTCTCCCCCTCCCTCCCGGCGCGCTCTCTCTCTCTCCCCCTTCCCCTCCGCTCTGCCCGCGCGCCGCGCGCGCGTGTGCGAGAGCCACGCCCAGCGCCCCTCCCTCCGCTCTGCCCGCGCGTCGCGCGCGCATGCGCGAGAGCCGCGCCGTCTGCGCCGTCCGCGCCGTCCGGCCCCGCTGCCCTGCCGCCCTGCAGCCGCGCAGCCGCCCGGCCCCGCAAGCCAGCGTGCGTGCCCAAGCCGCGCCGCTCAAATCCGCCGCGCCTCCCGTTGCAAGCCGCGCGCGCGTGCCGTGGTGGCCGACCGCCTGGTCGCCGCCGTCGTCAGCGCCTGCCGCGCCTGTCGCCCGTGTCATCGCGCCGCTCCAAACCGCCCAGCCGTCATCGCTGTCGTCATCGCCTCGGCCCCGCCTCTCCGCGCGCAAGCCGCCAAGGGACGGAGGCAGAGCCTCCCTCCTCCCTCTGCCGCGACGCCTCCACTCCCTCCTCCTTTTCCCAAAGAAGAAAGGGGCGAGCCCCCCCTTTTCTCTCCCCCCTTTATCCTCCTTTTTCCCTCTCGCCAGCGTCACCGCCCTGTCGCCGATTTGGACGCAAGCGCCGAGCGCCAGCTCGCGCCTTGACCGCCCTAAGTCGGTTCCCAAACCGACATTGCCGCCCATTTAAACCCTAGCCTCCCCCTTTCCCTTCCTCTCTCATTCGCCTCCGCGCCATTGCCGCCGCCCCCGTGCTCTGTTCGCCGTCGCCGTTCGTCGTTGCGCGTGTCGGAGGAGCCGGCACGAGCCAGGACGCGGAAGGGGACTCCGGGCGCGCCCTCTCCTTCCTCTTCCCCGGCCCGAGGCCGGAGAGATTACTCCCGCGCCGTCGGCCTCTCGTCACAGCGCCCCGACCCGCACGGTAGTGCCTCTCTCCGTTCTTCCTCCTCGCTCCATCTCCTCCCCTTAGTTTTCGGTGGTAGCACGAGTAGCCTCCCCGAAGCTAGCCTGCGCCGCCCCGACCTTTGTCGTCGCTCGCCGTGTGCTCGCCGCCGTCACCGCTCGAGCTCCGTAGCACCCGCTCGTCGCCAGCCTCGCTCGGCGTAGCTCCGCCCAATCCGACGCTAGCATCGGATTCCCGTGGCCGCGTAGATGCTCTCACCACCGGGAATTGGCCCCTCGTGACCTCGTCGCCGTTTTCCCCTTTTCCCGCCGCCGGTTGCCGCCGCCGCGATTCGCCGCCTTCAAGCTCCCTCCGGCGAATCCGAGCCGTTGGCTCGTCTCCCCTCGTCACGTGCAACCACCCGGTGTGCTCGCTTTTGCCTGTATCGCCGTGGTTTGCTCCGTCGCTCGCCGCTATCGACCGCCGTCCGTTCCGGCAGGCGTCGTCGTCTACCTCCCGCCGGCCCGCGTGGCAGCCACGTAGGCGCCACGTCGGCGCCGGCCCAGCCGAGGTCGGGACGGGCCGACCCCGGTCAGCCCCTCCCGTGCGCGCGTTCCACCGCGAGCCGTGAGGCTGCGCGTGGGCCCGCCGCATCCGTTCCTCCGCAGACCGCGCGCGTGCACCGCGTCCCTCCCCCACCCTAGCGCCGCGCCGCGTGCTCCCTCCGCACGGTGAGCCGAGCCGCTGACAAGCGGGTCCCACCCGGGACCGCGCACGGTGAGCCCGGTCCACCGGCCCTCTCTCTCCTCCCCTCCCGCGCGCGCGCACTTGGGCTGCCTTGGGCCGGCCGGCCCATTTAGCTCGGCCGGTCCGCTCCTTTTCCCTTGGGCCGCGCCCTAGCCGCCCGAGGAAAAGTCTATAATCCCTCCCTCTTTCCTTTTCTTTTCTTTTTCTTTTCCAAAAAGGATTTAATTAAATCCTTTTCCTTTAGACCAAAAATCCAATAATCTTAGAAATTCAATACCTTCCCAACCGTAAATCCGTTTGACTCCGTTCAACTTCCAAAATTCCTCAAATCTCGAGATCTATCTAATGGCACGCTTAGAGGTCATTAATAGGGCTTTATTTTCGCCGTTTGTTGAGTTGTCCCGTTTCGCGTGTAGTTTCGGAGCCCGAAGACCCGCAGTGCGAGGATTTCGAGGATCAAGCTCCAGATCTCGAGCAAGGCAAGCCACCTTTGAACATCTTGAGCCTATATTTGAAATTTAATTATGTTGCTTGAAAAATATTATGCATTGATAGGATCGCACTTAATCTGTCGTCCCGTCTGCAAGGCAGATTGGCGGACCCACCTAATTTGTTGCATTGATCCTCCCTTGTTAATTGTTATATCATGTCCCCCTGTAACCATCTAGTTGCGTCTCGACATTCGCGCACCCTGTGCGAGCATCGACGGACGCCTTCAAACTTAAAATCTGAAAAACAACTTGGGTAAAACTTGGGTTTACAAAAGACTTGGAAAACTCGACACCTGGGTCGGTGCTTGCGAACTAAATGGATTTTCCAAAACCGCGGACCGGGGAACGTACCAGGTGTACGGTTTCCCGCTCTCGCACTTAAGGACCGATTCCTTGGAATTTCATCCAAACGTAAGACAAGTACGACCACATGGGTGGAATGAGACACCCCTGGCTGAGTAACTAGCTTATCAGGGGAGCCTTGATGCCGAGAGACATGTGGATTCGCCGGGGTGGTGTCGGGGAGGACCCCTGGGCTTCCTGGCACAGTATGGTCTGGGACCTAACCTGTTGTTGGTCTGGGACCCCTCTCGTCGGCATATGGTAAACCTGTGTCGGCTTTAGAAATGCCTTGTCATGAAAGCTTGGAGGTCTCCCGACGTGGCTGATCCCCACGGGCTGGGTGATCCGGGTTAGTAATGTCGTGTGGGTAAAGTGTACCTCCTCTTCAGAGGTTAACAAACTGTTCGAACAGCCGTGCCCACGGTCATGGGCGGATGTGAGGTGATTCCTAGCACAGTTTTGTTTGACTACTGCTTGTGAAATTGCTGTTGTGGAAAGGGGTTCGATGTTTGAAAAATCTGCAGCTGATGGGATCAGCTAGGCCCGGGTGGCCGTTTGAAAGTTGTTGGCCCGGGTGGCCGTTTGAAAAGCTGTTGGCCGGGTGCCAACCTTGATTCAATTCTAAAGACTGATACATTGCACAAACTCCGACCGGACGAGACGCACTGTCTCAACCGTGTTGTTTGAGAAGCACTCACTTAGTTGTTTTTAGAAAAGAGTTCAAATAAAATCAATTGCAAAAACAACAGCCTTTCTTTGAAGCCTGCATTAAACACTTATTTCCCATGGCTTGCTGAGTACTCCCGTACTCACCCTTGCTCTATATAAATAACCCCCCCCAGTTGCTGAAGAAGATGAAGCGGATCCTGCTGATGAGAAGTTCTTCCAGGAGCAAGCCGGCTACGATGAGTTTTAGGGTTTCGGCCTAGTTCCCAAGTCGCGCCTGTGTTGATTGGTCCAAGTCCTGGCTTCCATTTCCCTTTTGTAATGCAGTTGTGAGCTCGGGATCTGTCCGCAGCCCAACATGACTGTATCTCTACTCTATAATAAAGAGACCCCTGTTGCTGTGATATTCTGTCTCCCTGTGATACCAGCACTGTTTCCTGGGACTGGTATCGATTAACAGGTTAATTTGGAGCGTCACAGGCTAGTTCCGGTCGGTACTAGTTCGGGGCGTGACAACTTTTAATATTCCTTTTTCTAATCCAAAATTTCAATCATTTCTAGATTATATTCTGTATGGACTCTTATACTTTTATTTCAATATTCCTTTTTTTAATTTCATGGTATTTATAAATTCCGGATTACTGTTATTTTTAAATTGTATTCCTATTTGGAATCTATTTTTTATTTTTTTCCTCTTTTTCTCCAATTAATATGAGAATTTCTCGACCGTGAGAGTGAATGTGGAGGCTCCTTTTTCTATTACTTTAATAAATTAATAGATAGATAATATTCTATATGGACTCTTATACTTTTATTTCAATATTCTTTATTTTTTAATTTTTAATTTTTGGTATTTATAAATTGTATTTTTATATGGACTCTATGGAGTACTTTTATTATTTTATTTTTTTGTTAATTCCGAATTTTTATTTATAAATTGTATACGTATATGGACTCTAGCCTTTTCTTTTAATATTCCTTATTTTCTAATTCCGAATTCAGTTATTTTTAAATTGTATTCCTATTTGCACTATATTTTTTCTTTTTCTATTTTTCTCCGATTAATATGAGAATTTTTTAACCATAAGAGCGAATGTGGAGGCTCCTTTTTCTATTGCTTTAATAAGTTAACTAGTTGGGCAGCCCACGCAATTGCGATGCTAGCAACAATTTAAAATTATCTATTTTTTACACATGATTTTATTTAAAATTATCATTCTCGTGATTCTAATAATTTTATAGTTTTAAAAGCCACATCAGTCACTACCCCTTACTCCTTTATCACATTTTTATTTGCTTACTCGATATACCACTACTTCTATTCATCCTCTTTAAAACTTTAAAAAATTAGGCCTTATAGTTTTTAGAGTTCATTGTCTTGTTGGGTTTCGTTTTCATAATTTTTAGGAGTATTGTCAAACATCGTCAATTTACTGCTCTACGGCTCATCCGCTGCCACCTCTCTTTATTATCATTGGGATTTTAAAAATCGAACATAATTATTGCTTGTGTTCTTTTTTACTTTTTATAAGTCTCGTCAAATCGTTAGGGGCTTCGCCCCCTATACTGCTCTGCACCCCGCCCACTGCCTCCCCTCTTTATTGTTATTCAGATTTTAAAATCAAACATGATTATCATTGGGGTTTATTTTACTCTGCATAAGTCCCGTCAACCGTCGTGACCATGTTGCATAACAGCATGCCTATCTTCACTGGGATTCTATTTGGGGTTTTGTTTATAGTTTTTTGATATCACATCAACCGCTAACACTCTACTCCTTTGTAGGCCTATTGCTTATCTCCTCTTTATGGTAATTTGTGATTGTTGTGTTCTAGATGGATTTTTTTAAAATTGCATAATTTTTCATCCCGATAATTTTTTTCATAAATTATATTCCAACTTAAACTCTTATAATTATTTTTCTATTTTTGGAATTTATTTTATTTGTTATTTCAAACTTTAATTAATCTCGTCATGTATTCTAGATTGTCTCTTACTTCAACGGTCTTTATTTTTTATTACAAATTTTAGTTATTTATTATAAATTGTATACGTATATGGAATCTAGCCTTTTCTTTCGATATTTCTTATTTTTCTAATTCCGAATTTCAGTTATTTTAAATTGTATTCCTATTTGGACTCTATTTTTTATTTTTCTGTTTTTCTCCGATTAATATAATAATTTTTAAACCATGAGAGCGAACGTGGAGGCTCTTTTTTCTGTTGCTTTAATAAGTTAATAGATTGCTCCCGCTTAATCTGAGAAATAAAAAAAATCGGTGTTCTTGTCTTCTCCGAGTGGCGAATGGTCGGCCGACACCTTTCGAATCGGAGCTTATGTCGGTTGCGTGTTTGTGTTTGGCACGCCAAGTGGAGCTTGAGAAAACAATCGAGATCGATCTATGTGCAGTATTGCACAGGATTTGCATCCTTAAGAAAGTTGGTGTGCCATCGCATTCTTGGAAAAACCGGTTACTGCGTTTGTTTGCAACAGATAGAGAGAAATCACAGTTTTCTCCATGCGCAAATCACAGTTTTCTCCATGCGCACGCTTTCCAAACTACGAATCATTAAATATCATACTTTAAAAAAATATAGGAAAGTTACTTTAAAAAATTAAATTAATTAATTTTTAAAGTTTAAAATAATTAGTCCTTAATTAATTATGCTCTAATGTCTTACCTTATTTTGCGTATTTTCTCAATCTTTTCTTTTTACCTCCTCTCAAACACGGTGACCAATGAGCACTGAGCTACCACTAGAAACCTAACCAATTGAGCTACATTTACTTCGCTAGTATGTAATTTATAACGTAGTTCTCTTGTAGAATATATGTTTGATCATTCATATTATTTAAAACTTTTTACAAATATATGGAAATATATAGTACCGTTATGACAAAGTACTTTTAGTGATAATAGAAATCACAATAAAATAAATAATCATAATATTATTTTTTATGAAACAATAATCAGATGTAAATTAATAACGGCGTATATTAAAATCGGAGGGAGTACTCTCTATTTGAAAGCACGAGCTTCCGAATATGATCTGTAGCTCTATCCTACTCCTCTATAAAAAAAAATTCAAACTGGTCCAGATTCATCCCTACAGTTTGATTTTTTTTACGGAGAGACACTACTACAGGAATGATTTTCCTTGACGGGGGTCATTTTAGATTGCAAACGGCGTGTAAGTAGTTGCGTCTGCGAAAATCGTGCTCCATTTTCACGTGCGACTCTTTAAGATGACTGCACAAAAAAAATCAATTATCGCAGGCGGGCCACTTAATAGGTCCGCATGCAAAAATAGGCTTGTTTTCGCGTACGGACCTGTTAAGTCACCGCACACGAAAATAGCCTCTCAACTTTTAATCCGCCGTCGCTGCCCCACATGCACCCACTCTCATCGCTATCTCCTTAGATCCCATCTCACACCTGCTCCTCCCATCTCCCTCTCCGCCTCCTCCTCCCATCTCCCTATCCGCCTCCTCCTCCCACTCCTCCCTCTCCCTATCCGCCCCCTCCTCCCACTCCTCCCATCTCCCAGCGACGGCGGCAGCATCGGAGCGGATTCGTTGCCGGCCGCCGCAGTGAGGATGGATCCATCGCCTGTGACCGCGAGGGGATCCGTCGCCGGCGACAGCGGGGACGACGGCGGCGGGCCTTAGGCAAGGCGGCGATGACGACGGTGGTGACGGCGACGATGGCGGTGACGGTTTTTTTTGTTTCGATTTTTTATTTTCCCGTGCACACGTGAAAATCGCGATTTTCACAGACACTTCGTTCCAGACGGGTGGAAGATTCGCATGCTCGACCGCACAGAAAAATCATTATTGCACTAGTGGGAGTATATGTTAGCAGATTTGTTTCGAGCCTAATCAACTTTTATTATAGTTCGTGTGTGCGCCTGGATCAATTATTTGTGAACTAGAGAGAGCTGTACCAAAGCTGAACCTAAGAACCTGATTATTTGAGCGGGCGTCCACTGTCTAGCTTTACTAGTACTACTATTGATCGAGTCAATGATCGCTCTACTAGTACTACTATTGATCGAGTCAATGATCGCTCTACTAGTACTACTATTGATCGAGTCAATGTAACGATCTGTTTGGTGGCATATGATGTATTCTTGATCAGCAAAACGTATGCTTGAGCTGCAAGCCGATGTATAATCAAGGAAATGAAAAACAATGAGTTCCACTTGCCATCTTGGGACCAACAATATCTTTTGATCTCTCCGAACCAGAGACTACCATTAAATTAGACGAGCTTCAGAATCTTCTAGTTCTTCCGGCGAGGTGAATGGATTAACTCTTTTTTTTAAAAAAAATCCAGAAACATGAATACCAAGTTCGTAAAACACGAGAGAATCGATCCACCAGCCGAACGACTGCCATCTTCATCAGCTATAAAAGAGCCGACAAATCTAGGTGCTCCGCACAGTGATACAGATCACTTGCGCCATCACAAGTCGCAAGCCAAAACCATCTCACTGACTAGCTCGAGCTCACCATGGAATTCTCCTCGAGTTCAACGTCTCTCTTCCTCCTCCTCTCTATCCTGCCTCTCCTCTACTTTCTTTGCCAGCGCCACGACCCCAAGAAGCAGCCTCACGCCCATGGGCTCAAGTCCTACCCCGTCGTCGGCACACTGCCGCACTTCGCCAAGAACAAGGATCGCTTCCTTGAGTTTATAACCGAAATCATGAAGCGGAGCCCCACGCACACCTTGTCGTTCAAGGCGCTCGGCCTCACCGGCGGCGTCATCACCGCCAACCCGGCCAATGTCGAGTATACGCTGAAGACTAACTTTGGTAACTACCCCAAGGGCGAGCTCGCCGTGTCCATGCTCGTCGACTTCCTCGGCCATGGCATCTTCAACTCCGACGGCGAGCAGTGGCAGTGGCAGCGGAAGGCCGCCAGCTACGAGTTCAACAAGCGCTCGCTGAGGAACTTCGTGGTGGACACCGTCAGGTCCGAGGTCGTCGAGAGGCTGCTGCCGCTGCTGGAGCGGGCGGAGCGCGACGGCCGGACGCTGGACGTGCAGGACGTGCTGGAGCGCTTCGCGTTCGACAACATCTGCCATGTCGCCTTCGACGAGGACCCGGCGTGCCTCGCCGAGGACAGCATGGCCTCGCCCCAGAGCGCGAAGTTCATGCGCGCGTTCAGTGACGCGCAGAATGCCGTGATGGACCGGTTCATGTCGCCGGTCAAGTCGCGGTGGCGCTTCAAGAGGCTGTTCAACATGGAGCCCGAGAGGCAGATGCGGGAGGCGCTCGCCACGATCCACGGCTTCGCCGAGCGGATCGTCCGGGAGCGCAGGGAGAGAGGGGAGGCCGGGCTGGCGCGCAGTGACGACTTCCTGTCGCGCTTCGCCGCGAGCGGCGATCACAGCGACGAGAGCCTCCGTGACGTGGTGACCAACTTCCTCATCGCCGGGCGCGACACGACGTCGACGGCGTTGACCTGGTTCTTCTGGCTACTGTCCGGCCGGCCCGACGTGGAGGACAAGATCGTACGCGAGATCCACGCAGTGCGGCGCGCTTCCGGTGGCACAGGCGACCCGACGTTCAACTTGGACGAGCTGCGTGACATGCAATACCTCCATGCCGCCATCACCGAGTCCATGCGGCTGTACCCACCCGTGGCCATGGACTCGCACAGCTGCAAGGAGGACGACTTCCTGCCGGACGGCACGTTCGTGGGGAAAGGGTGGTTTGTGTCCTACAGCGCGTACGCGATGGCACGGGTGGAGGACATCTGGGGCGCGGACTGTGAGGAGTTCAGGCCAGAGCGGTGGCTAGACGAGGCCGGCGCGTTCCGGCCGGAGAGCCCGTTCAAGTACCCGGTTTTCCACGCGGGGCCGAGGATGTGCCTCGGCAAGGAGATGGCCTACATACAGATGAAGTCCATTGTAGCATCTGTGCTTGAGAGGTTCAGTCTCCGGTATGCCGGTGGCGAGGGACACCCGGGGTTCGTGCTCTGGTTGACGTTGCGCATGAAGGGCGGTTTACCGATGCAAGTGACCACTAGAGGTTGATGGCCGTAGCAACTTGTGGACTACGCTGTTAGAGAGTTGCTCCCGCTTAACCCGAGAAATAAAAGAAATTGGTGTGCTTGTTTTCTCCGAGTGGCGAATGGTCGGCCGGCACCTTTCGAGCTTACGTTAGTTGCGTGCTTGTGTTTGGCACGCAGTGGAGCTTTTGAAAATAATCGAGATCCTCTGTGCAGTAATGCACATGATCTGCATCATATCCAGATATCCTCGAGAAAGGTGGTGTGCTACAGTACAAATAGTACTACTATTGGTGTGTGGACAGGATTGATATCCTCTCGCCGGTCGACTACATCGTTCACGGACATATGGGCCCGATGATCTTTAGGCCCGCATGTCTGTGACAAAGACGCACCAAGACGCGGTGCAGTCGACTGCGAAGAATCTTTATCTATGTGGATGATGTAGATGGATGCCAACTCAAAAAAAATTGGTTATTGCGTTCGTTTGCAACCGATTGGTTAATAGTTCGTAGTTTGGAAAGAGTTCGTTTGTACGTTTTTCGATCTACAAAATATTACTCGACGTGTTTTTTTATAAAAAAAATATAGAAAAGTTGCTTTCAAAAATTAAATTAACTATTTTAAAATTGTATGCTCGCCAAAGCTCAAAGAGATGTCGGGGTGTGGGTGTGGGTGTCGCTGGGGCACGACTTTCCCAACATGGTTTCGAGCCATCGTCTCTCGTGTCATGCTCGTTCGACCTTGCAAGCCCTAACGAGGCTCGCGCGTCTTCCTAGTTGGTTGAGGGGCTTGCATGGGACACATCGACACACTATGAATGTCCTTACATGATCTTTCTGTTTAGTTAGGGCAACGTCAATGTTAAAGGTTACGTGAAACATAAGAGTGGGACCCACCACAGTAAGCAGCAGTTGTTTCCATGCCTACAATGCTTGTGTCGCAGAGAGAAAATAAGGTGGGGCCCACAGGGTCCCATCGAGGGGAAAAAATATCACTACTCACTCCTTCCGTGAAACACTTGGCGCAATGAAAAGTCCCCATCTTCTATTCACTTCATATTTTATTAGCTTGTTGCCGCACCGTAAGGTTAAGGCTTCTTTTTCTCTATGGTTCTTATGGTGTGCTTGCACAATGCTTAAGGTGTTGTACTGTATAACATTAATTGCTTAAGGCTAACTTTTTACCAACATTGTGGATGCCCTTAGGAGGCAAAAGACATGGACCTTCCAACAACGCACAACCACATTGAGTGCCATTGTAGCTAAAATAAAGAGTAAATTGCACTTACGGTGCAACAACTTAGCAGGTGGGTGTAATTTAGTACAATAACTTAAAAAATGAACGTTCTAGTGCAACAACTTGGTAGGAATGTGCAATTTAGTATAAGAACTTTATAAGTGATCGTATAAATGCAACAACTTGTAAGGTAGGTAGGATTTTGATACAATAAATTAAGAAGTTACGTGACAACTTAATTATTTAGAGCATTTTTATATAAATTCAAATTTTTAAGTACTTATTTTAACAATATACTAGCATGGAATTATATAAACATATTTATATTTTTATCCTAATAACTAATAACTAAAAATCAATTAAACTGGATTAAGAAATTATTATATTTCGGTTGATAATTGAGAAGGTGAAGAAAACAAAAATTTTAAAGATAATTGGATGTAAATTGTATGTGCAACATAATTCTTAAAGATTAAATTCATATATAAGGTAATATCCGTATGATCAGTGTGTATTGGCATACTTACATCGTGAAAAATCTCATCTAGCATATGCTTAGCTAAATTGATTCACTAAAATACTAAATTATTAAGTTTTTTACTAGAACGCACCCACTTGTCAAGTTGTTGCACTCGGACGTTCAATTATAAAGTTCTTGCACTATATTGCACCCACCTATCAAGTTGTTATATCGTAGGTGTAATTTACTCTAAAATAAAAGAGGAAACACGAACTTGTGTGTGGTGTCAGTGTGTACTGTCTACCTTTAATATTGAAGTTGCGGCACAACAAAGTCATTGTAACGATCTGCTTGCGCTGAATCACTTCTCACCTTGATAGGATGATCCACTCCTGAATCTTGAGCTGCAAGCCGATTCATCTTAAGTAAATTAGAAACATTTAGTTCCACTTGCCCTCTTGGAACCAATAATGTCACCAATTTAAACTCTACCATTAAAATTAGACAAGCCTAAGAAACTTCCAGTTCTTCTGATCAAGGGAATGTTTGACTTTTGTTCTCTGACCTATGTGAAGTCGTAAGCACATTTATCTATCTATAATAACTCTATTAATTGAGCACCACGAGGGAACTAACCGAAAATATGTAGGAGTAGTTGATGACTAACCCTGCTGCAACTAAGCTTAGGGTGTGTTTAGATCCCAAAAATTTTTGGTCTAAAATGTGACATCAAATGTTTGGACACATGCATGGAGTATTAAATATGGACGAAAAAAACCAATTGCACAGTTTACATGTAAATTGCTAGAAAAATCTTTTGAGTATAATTGCGCCATGATTTAACGATGTGATGCTACAGTAAACATTTGCTAATAACGGATTAATTAGGCTTAATAAATTCATCTCGTAATTTACAGACGGAATCTGTAAATTGTTTTGTTATTAGTATACGTTTAATACTTCAAATGTGTCTCCGTATATTTAAAAAAGTTTAGCCAAAGAACTAAACACGGCCTTAAGCAAGTTGTGCCATGCAATAAAAATATGATTAGAAATAGTTTATCATAAAGTATAGCATGGCTAAGTTTTTTTTAGCAACAGAGGTTATCGCAGAAACAAATTTACAGATTAGCCCGAGATATTACACAACCAAGGAGACTCTTAGTGTCAAATAATTAAGAAATTATAAAAGAAGTCTGGGCATGCTAGAACTCACCCCTTCCACTATGCTAGCAAGCACTTTCCTAGCATTGTTAGTTATAAATTTGGAAGTATACATGACATGTGATAAGTGCAGTGCGATACAATGGCGGCAACAAAATAAACATATATCTAACCATGACATAACTAAAGTGTGACTTAGCAAAATAAGACAACCAAACAAAAGCCGTAAAATACCAAAATACCCAAGAACCCAACACAATTGATATGTTGCTGAGCCGGACGACTACAATCTCCAGCTATAAAGCAGCCAAGCAATCCATGTCTTCTTATCCCAGAAACATTGATACTGATACAGATCACTTGTCTGCCAGTCACAAGCCTCATGCCAAAAGCTCCTCTCACACACTCACTCTCTCGCGCCATGAAATTCTCCTCGACCTCAACCCCTTTATTCATCCTCCTCCTCCCTTTCCTGCCTCTCCTATACTTTCTCTACCTGTACCAGGATACCAAGAAGCAGCCTGCAGGTTCCAATGGACTCAAGTCCTACCCTGTAGTCGGCACGCTGCCGCACTTCGCCAAGAACAGGCACAGGTTTCTCGAGTGGTCGACCGACGTAATGAAGCGCAGCCCCACGCACACCATGACGTTCAAGGCGCTTGGCCTCACAGGCGGCGTCATCACAGCCAACGTGGCCAACGTCGAGCACATACTAAAGACTAACTTTAGTAACTACCCGAAAGGCGAGCTCTCCGTGTCCTTGCTCGAGGACTTGCTTGGCCACGGCATCTTCAACTCCGACGGCGAGCAGTGGCTGTGGCAGCGGAAGGCCGCAAGCTACGAGTTCAACCAGCGCTCGCTGAGGAGCTTCGTGGTGGACACCGTCCGGTTCGAGGTCGTCGAGAGGCTGCTGCCGCTGCTGGAGTGGGCGCGGCGCGACGGCCGGACGCTGGACGTGCAGGATGTGCTCGAGCGCTTCGCGTTCGACAACATCTGCCATGTGGTGTTCCACGAGGACCCGGCGTGCCTCGCCGAGGACAGCATGGTCTCGTCCCAGAGCGCGGAGTTCATACGCGCGTGCAGCGACGCCCAGAACGCCATCATTGCCCGGTTCATGTCGCCGGTGAAGTCGCTATGGCGCGTCAAGAGGCTGTTCAACTTGGACCCGGAGAGGCGGATGCGAGATGCGCTCACCACGATTCACGGTTACGCCGACCGGATCGTACGGGAGCGCAGGGCGAGAGGGGAGGCCGGGCTGGCGCGCAGCGATGACTTCCTGTCGCGCTTCGCCGCGGGCGGTGAGCACAGCGACGAGAGCCTCCGCGACGTGGTGACCAACTTCCTCATCGCCGGGCGCGACTCGACGTCGTCGGCGCTGACCTGGTTCTTCTGGCTGGTGTCCAGCCGGCCCGACGTGGAGGACAAGATCGTGCACGAGATCCGCGCGGTGCGGAGCGCGTCGAGCAGCGGCGGCACAAGCAGCGCGACATTCAGCTTCGACGAGCTGCGCGACATGCACTACCTCCACGCGGCCATCACCGAGTCCATGCGGCTGTACCCACCCGTGCACCTGGACACGCACAGCTGCAAGGAGGACGACTTCCTGCCGGACGGCACGTTCGTGGGGAAAGGGTGGCTGGTGACCTATTGCGCGTACGCCATGGGACGTGTGGAGGACATCTGGGGCGCGGACTGCGAGGAGTTCAGGCCGGAGCGGTGGCTGGACGAGGCGGGCGCGTTCCGGCCGGACAGCCCGTTCAAGTACCCCATCTTCCACGCCGGACCAAGGATGTGTCTCGGCAAGGAGATGGCATACATACAGATGAAGTCCATCGTGGCGTGCGTGCTCGAGCAGTTCAGCCTCCGGTACGCCGGTGGCGACGGACACCCAGGGTTCGTGCTCTGGTCGACTCTGCGAATGGAAGGAGGCCTGCCGATGCAAGTGACCACCAGGGAGTAATCATCGTCCACTTCATTGCTAGAGTTGCTCTTGCTTTGATCCCAGAAATAAAGCATGAATGGTTTTCTTGTTTTCCCTATAGATGGCCAAATGAGTCGCTCGACACGGCCTGGCCTAGCACAACCAAAGCATGGTCTGAGATCAGTCAGTCAGGCCGTGCTCGCCCACTGGTTGCACCTACGACCCAATATGACACAGGCTGTGCCATGCTGGTCTGAAGGCACAACCAGTCTAACGTGCTCGTCCTTGCAATAAGTCTATTTTGCCTCCCTCATTTCTTTGGGTCGTGTCTTGTATATCTAGAATACATCTATTTTGCATCTCTCATCTCTTTGGGCCGCCCATTGACGAGCTACGGCCTATGGGAGCGGGGGATCATTGGGCCGTGCCGTGCTAGATCGGCACGTCGTGGCGAGGAAGAGGCTCAGGCACGACAATTCATGTGAGCTCCAACAGGTACAGACATTCGCCATTCGGGGGAATATAGTTGGCCAAAAGATCCGCAGCTCGACAACCCGACCCACAACATGGAGAGGCGTAGCCCACAACGGAACCATAATGGCATGGTTTTATATTTTGGAAAGGAAAAACAATCGAGGAAGAGAGGCGATTGATCTGAAATTGTGGAGATTTTGAAATATTCTACCCAAGTTAATTTAAAATTTAGATAAAATTTGTATAAAATTTACTAAATTCATAAAATTAAAATTTTCGGATGAAATAATTTCATACCCGGGACCGAAGTTTCTAAAACCAAAATATCGAACCCTGCTTAATTAACGTGGTGTTCATGTTCTGTGGTCAGTATGGGCACTAAAGTACTTCAAATCTGTACTGTCACTAATATAAGTCGGAGGAATTTTATAAAAAATAAAATCAATTCACATGTAATTATGTAAACACTTCAAAGAATATAATTATATGAGATTATTATTACGAGATTTCATTTGAATATAGAAATGTAAGATTTTGTTGTGAGATCTTAATAAAAGGAATATAACATTATAACCATATCGTATATTTGATAAAAAAAAACAGTTGAAAAGATAAGAAAATCTTTATTTGAAGATTTTCCTTGTTATTAAATACCGATAAGAAGCATTACTTGTCATTGATCAAATCATTTGACGGAGAGACCGAGGAATGGGCGCATGATCGTGGGAAGCGTTTCCCCAAGATCTAATCGTGGTAAGCTTCCTAAAGACTACTACTTGCATTAATTTAAATATAATTGTGCGTGCAACTCGTGTGATTTTGAAAATTCACAAGTTCATATTAGGATTTGTTGAGAAGGAGAAATTAGTGGAATTAAATGGTGAAATATTATGTTCGTTGAGAAGAGAAAGTTGGTATAGAAATAAAATGATGGACAATTCTGATTTGTTAAAAAAGAGATATAGATAGAGAAATAGCTACATTTTACTTTCTCCATTGCAAAATATAGCTATACTTTCTAGTTTGAACTAAAAAGTAGATGCATTTTGGGATGGAGGAAGTAAAAAAAATTGAAAGCTAGAAATAACTATATTTGTGATAGAGTGATACCATAGTAGTTGTCCGCATTACATAGTACTATTTTATTTTTTTTATATATGACTCCGTTGATTTTTACATGTCATTTGTTCATCTTTCTTATTTAAAATTTATATAAATATTATTTTTATATGATTTATCTTTAAAAAATCTCTAGGTTTGATTTAGGGGGCTGCAATATAACGGAATCCTATTTTCGAACGGGATGATCCTGTCGACGTTTGATGTCGTCATTCTGGTATTTGCATAGTATGGGGATCGTCGGTGCTAGGATATACGCGAGACTGAGGTAAAAGAGACGAAGACGGGGATTTTTATACAGGTTCAGGCTCCTGAGTGGTCAGGTAATGGCCCTACATCCTGTTGGCCGGAGCCGGAGTTGCTTTTATTCACCATAATCACACCAGTACAATATGTGGGGTAGCCTATCTAACCGTTGTCGACATGGCGGTCTGAAGGTCTGACTCGTAGTCGACAACAGGGTAGCCTTCCTCCTCGAGCTCGCGCCCGACGAAATCAGAGACAGTGCTAGATCCCTACGGCCGGCCTCTGAAGGTACCGGATAGGGTCGATCCAGGCGTATCTTTGATGTCGATATCTGGCGGCTTGTCTTGGCGTATGTAGGTTTGTATGTTGTCCCGTGTATTTGTGATGGGTGTGTTGATTGTGGTGGTCCGTGTGTCCGTGTTGATCGTGTTGATCGTCCTGGGGGGCCTTGTATTTATACCCATAGGTGTCGCCTTGTCCAAGTAGAACTAGGGAAACCAATGTGGATACAATCCGAGCAGTCCTTGTTGATTCCATGTAGAACTCTGGTTGTCCTTCCTTATATGGAACTCCCTCCATATCTGAAGTCAGTTTCCGTATAAGACATGGTATGTGGTGGGTCCTGCCGAGATGCAGTCAACTACTATTAGGTATGTGGTATCCATAACCCTGACAGATCCCGAGTAGGTATCAGGTGTGATACCTATTAGGTATCAGACGATTCTACACAACAGGATGATCCCGAGTAGGTATCAGGTGTGATACCTATCAGGTATCAGACAATTCTACACTCGTTTTATGTGATACTTGCAAGTATCATGTGATACTTATCAGGTATCATGCGATTTCTACCACGTATCGCGTGATACTCGCGAGGTATCATGTGAAACCTGTCAGGTATCAGACGATTTCAACCATGTATCGCGTGATACTCACGAGGTATCATGTGATACCTGTCATGTATCATACAATTTCTACCACGTGTCGCGTGATACTCGCGAGGTATCATGTGATACTTGTCAGATATCAGACGATTTCTACCATGTATCGCGTGATACTTGCGAGGTATTGGATGATACCTACCAGGTATCAGGTGATTCCTACTAGATATAGCTGGGCATTCCGTTGGGGGAGGAGCACCCCGACATGCGCGATTGGTCCCCTGCAGCTGTCCCTTGTAGACGAGGACAGCGACGGCGGCGGTAGCGGGGGACGGGCACGGCAGCGGCGGGGGACAGCAACGGCGACCGTAGGGGATGGGCGGCATCGACGGGGGACAGGCGCGGCGGCGGCGGGGGATGGGCACGACGGCGGTGGAGGCGACGGGGGACGGGCGTGGCAGCGGCGGGGGACGGCGACGGCGGCGAGTGAGCAGGCCTGGTGCGTGTATGGATAAGAATCGCGTTGTGGAGGAGGAGCTATCCCGTTGGGAGACGGTATCCTGTCCCCTAGCATTCCCGTTAATTTATACTTTAGCATATTTACACTATTGTTTTATAAATAAATAATCAAATGTTATTCTAAAAGTTAACAACATTATCTATTTTTTTTAAAAAAAACGGAGGTATTAGTAGTTAGCACCTCCGTTATAAATAACGACACATCATGCATCACTTGCAATCTCCAGCCACAAAAAAAAAAAAAAATCGACCTCTTCTCGCAAGCACTTGCGCCAATCACAGCTCACAAGTCGCAAGACAAAAGCCCCAAATCATCTCACTGTTGCCATGGAACTCTCCCCAATCTCAGCTTCTCTCTTGCTCATCCTGATCCTGCTCGCTTTTCTACCCCTCCTCTACTTCCTCTACATGCACCAGGATCCCAAGAAGAAGCCTCGCATTCATGGACTCAAGTCCTACCCTGTGGTCGGCACGCTGCCGCACATCATCAAGAACAAGCACCGGTTCCTTAAGTGGTCGACCAGCATCATGAAGTGCAGCCCCACGAACACCATGTCGTACAAGGCGCTCGGCCTCACCGGTGGCGTCATCACCGCCAACCCGGCCAACGTCGAGCACATTCTCAAGACTAACTTTGACAACTACCCCAAGGGCAAGCTCACCGTGTCCATGCTCGAGGACTTTCTTGGCCACGGCATCTTCAATTCCGACGGCGAGCAGTGGCTATGGCAGCGGAAGGCCGCCAGCTACGAGTTCAACAAGCGCTCGCTGAGGAACTTCGTGGTCGACACCGTCCGGTTCGAGATCGTCAAGAGGCTGCTTCCGTTGCTGGAGCAGGCGGGGCTCGATGGACGGACTCTGGACTTGCAAGATGTGCTCGAGCGATTCGCGTTCGACAACATCTGCCTCGTGGCCTTCGGTGAGGACCCGGCGTGCCTCACCAAGGAGAGGATGGCCGCGCCCCAGAGCGCGGAGTTCATGCGCGCGTTCAACGACGCGCAGAACGCCATCTTGGCCCGGTTCAACTCGCCGGCCAAATCGCTGTGGCGCGTCAAGAAGCTCTTCAACATGGAGCCCGAGAGGCGGATGCGAGAGGCGCTCGCCACGATCCACGGCTTCGCTGAGCGGATCGTCCGGGAGCGCAGGGAGAGAGGGGAGGCCGGGCTGGCTCGCGGTGACGACTTCCTGTCGCGGTTCGCTGCGAGCGGCGAGCACAGCGACGAGAGTCTCCGCGACGTGGTCACCAACTTCGTCCTCGCCGGCCGCGACACGACGTCGTCGGCGCTGACCTGGTTCTTCTGGATTGTCTCCGGCCGGCCGGACGTCGAGGACAGGGTCGTGCGCGAGATCCGCGCGGTGCGCGCGTCGAGCGGGAGCACGGACGCGACGTTCAGCTTCGACGAGCTGCGCGAGAAGCACTACCTCCATGCCGCCATCACCGAGTCCATGAGGCTATACCCACCCGTGGCCATCGACACGCACAGCTGCAAGGAGGACGACTTCCTGCCGGACGGCACGTTCGTGGGGAAAGGGTGGCTAGTGATGTACAGCGCGTATGCCATGGGGCGTATGGAGGGCATCTGGGGCGCGGACTGCGAGGAGTACAGGCCGGAACGGTGGCTGGACGAGGCGGGCGCGTTCCGGCCGGAGAGCACGTTCAAGTACCCGGTGTTCAACGCCGGGCCTCGGATCTGCATCGGCAAGGAGATGGCCTACATACAAATGAAGTCAATCGTCGCTTGTGTGCTCGAGAAGTTCAGTCTCCGGTACGCCAGCGACGCCAACGAGCGCCCTCGGTCCGTGCTCTCGCTGACGCTGCGTATGAAGTGGGGCTTGCCGATGAAAGTGACCATCAGGAAGTAACCAACAAGAGTGCTCTCGCGCCTCGGTGGCCTCGCCTTCCCGGACACTCGATCAATGCGGGCAAGAATTTGGGACGTGTGTCCATCTCGGTAGGCCGAATCGGTGAGCGGGCTTATGAAAGAATCCTTTTAAGTCCCTTATGTTTGTTGCTAACTTGTTTTGGCGTTGATAGATTCTGGCACTGCTAATCTTGGATTGTAGCCCAAGATGAGATGCCTCCCATACATCACAGCTCTCACATGGTACTATTGGGAAAAAGTTTACTTCAGATCCCTCATCTCATTGTCGAGTTTCAGAATCGTCTCTAAACCAGAATATCAGATATAACGCATCACTATTTTTGCAAAATCGGGTCCCAAAGTAGTGTTGAGGACGGTTTTGGATAAAACAAAAATTAAAATAAATAAATAAAAACCACGAAAATGTAAGTGAAACATTATATTCCTCCTTGTATATCTTCCCATCCTCCGGTTTCTCTCCCTACCGCCCCATCCTCACCGGCCGGTCACCGCCGCTGCGGCCTTCCTGCAGCTGCTACCACTGAAGATCATCGATAATGCGGCAGATGTCGAGGTCAAGCTCCCATTCACAGGCCTTGATGTCGAGGTCAAGCGTCAAAAGAGTCTCTTGAGGCTCTTGACAAGCAGAGAAGGAAGTTTTTGTGGGCGGGGGGAGAAGCCTTGACGGGTGGAAAATGCAAAATCAACTGGACCCGAACCTGCCTACCCACTGGTTCCGGAGGTCTAGGAATCCTAAACCTTGAGAAGTTTGTAAGAGCTTTGCGCCTCCGATGGCTTTGGCAGGAATGGAAGTCACCGGAGAAAGCATGGGTGGGTTCTGGTACACCGTGCGATGACACCGATAAGCTCCTTTTCGCGGCAGCGACATCCATAACTATCGGAAATGGGGCGACGGTGAGTTTTTGGGAGTCAGCCTGGTGGCAGGGGAGAAGGATGAAAGATGTGGCACCGCTAGTCTACGCGGTCTCCAAGAAAAAGAATAGTACCCCTCCAACATGCCTTGCAATCAGATCAATGGCTGCTCGATCTGGGATTACCAACGGACGTGGGCTGGACAATAGAGCTGATTGACCAACTTGTCACGGTTTGGAGCGCCATCCAGACAATAGAGTTGACAGAACATGAGGACGACCAAATATCTTGGAAGCTCACTAGCCACGGTCAATATACGGCGGCATCGGCCTATAATGCACAACTACTTGGAACAACGGCCAACAACTTCAACAACCTAATTTGGAAGCCCTGGGCTCCTCGCAAATGCAAAACCTTCGCCTGGCTGGTCATTCAGAATAGAGTCTGGACCTCTGATAGACTATGTACTCGGGGATGATCAAATAGATCCATATGTCCCTTATGTCGTCGGGTCCAGGAGACGGCTCTACACCTCCTCGCAGGCTGCTGCTACACAAAGAGAATATGGGCAACCCTAGCGGAATGGACGGCGTGCAACAATATTCACCCCAACCATTGACGGCAGGCTTCGTCGGTGTTAGAATGGTGGGATCAAACCACAAGTGTAAAAGAGGCACCCAAAAAGGCTCTACGCTCCCTAACGCTCCTAGTCGCCTGGTTGATCTGGAATGAAAGAAATCGCAGAATATTCCAGCATAAGGAGCTCCCACCGAGTGGTCTTCTGACAAAAATCAAGGACGAGGCCGAGTGGTCTTCTGAGAAATTGGCTTGTTCCTTAGTTGACTAGGGCCAAAGGTCCTGAGTTTTTTCTTTTCCTTTTCACTGTACAGTTTTCTCCTTCTATATTCAATGAAATTGGCGGCTCGCCGATTCGTTAAAAAAAAAAATCACGGGCCAGTTTCTTGCTCCTCGTCCAGCACCGCCCTATCGGGCAAGGGTGGCAGCCTGCAGGTACTACAATAGTTGGAGCTCGGCACAGGGCTATGCATTGGCTGAGGTGGAGTCCATGCGGGCGTCAAGGCCGCCACCATCGCCGCTAGCACATTTTTGTTGTCAAGCTTCGCCGCTCCCCAAATGGAGGAAAGCGTCGATGCGGTCCCTGTCTCACCAGTCGGAGTTGAGAAAACCAAAAAAATAAAAATAGTTTGATTTATTTTGAGATACGACATATCTAAGTTGTGTTATGTTTTTTAGGTTGGTTTATCTCCGGTTAAAAGACAAAAGGAAATAAAATTCATCGGAAATGATGATTTATGACGTCTTATCTTAAGCAATAATTTATGACATACTCCCTTTGTTTAAAAAAGAATCAACTTCTGATAATGAATATAGATAACTGTCAGTTCAGAATTATTCTAGAAGTTCTTTTTAGCGGAGGATGTACCCCACTGCCGCAATCCAAATTACTTACGCCACTTGCAAAATGACAAATTACATTTACTCTTTATAAATGACACAATATTACGGGAATGGGCCCGCGCGCTGGCTGCTTAACTCGCTCAGCCGCCGGCCCCCCCCCATCCGCGTGCGATTAGCACAAGCTAATTACGATTGTTACTGTTAAATACCATAATTAAAAAATACATGTATAATTTAAAATTTTGAGTTATCAGTTTTAAAAATTTGGGTTAAAACTTTTGAATTTTGATATGAAAGTTTTCAACTAGATATGAAATTTTTTTAATTTTGAGTTGGAAGTTTTGAATTTCAATACCAAAGTTTTAAAATTTGAGATGAAAATTTTTAATTGAGTTGAATGTTTCTGAAATTTGAATTGGATGTTTTCAAAAATTGAGTTGAAACTTTCGAATTTTGACTTGAAAGTTTTTGAATTTTGAGTTGAAAGTTTTTGAAATGTGAGTTGAAAGTTTTCAAATTTGAGTTAAAAGTTTTCAAATTTTGAGTTGAAAGTTTTTAAATTTGACTTGAAAGTTTTTAAATCTGAGTTGAAAGTTTTTCAAATTTGAGATGGTAAGTTGAAAGTTTTCAAAATTTGACTTAAAAAATTCAAATTTTGAGTTGAAAGTTATCAAATTTAGGGTGAAAGTTTTCAAAATTTGACTTCATGTATAGATTTCTTATCAATCTGTTATAAAAAAACAAATCTTATCTTAATTATTATCATTATCTAAAACTAACCGTATTAGTTAGCATGTATCCAAAAAAAATCCCGGAAAAAATAAACACAGAAAGCTCACCGAGTGACAAGGGCCCGCCACGTCTCTAAGTCGCTAGTACGCGCGAATTAGCAAAACCGCAATATTACTCCATCACTCGAACTCTGATCCGAAACCAAAAAATCCACCTCTTTTCGCAAGCACTTGCGCCACTCGCAAGTCGCAAGCCAAAAATCACCTCACTGTTTCCATGGAACTCTCCTCAATCTCAGCTTCTCTCCTCCTCATCCTCCCTCTTCTACCGCTTCTCTACTTCCTCTACCTGCACCAGGACCCCAAGAAGCAGCCTCGTGCCCATGGACTCAAGTCCTACCCTGTCGTTGGCACTCTGCCGCACTTCATCAAGCACAAGAATCACATCCTCGAGTGGTCGGCCGGCGTCCTAAAGCGCAGCCCCATGCACACCATGTCGTTCAAGGCGCTTGGCCTCACCGGCGGCGTCTTTACGGCCAACCCGGCCAACGTCGAACACATGCTCAAGACTAACTTTGGTAACTATGTCAAGGGTGAGGCCATCATCACCATGCTCGAGGACTTCCTTGGCCGCGGCATCTTCAACTCCGACGGCGAGAAGTGGCTGTGGCAACGGAAGGCCACCAGCTACGAGTTCAGCAAGCGCACGCTGAGGAACTTCGTGGTGGACACCGTTCAGTTCGAGGTCATCGAGAGGCTTCTGCCGCTGCTGGAGCGAGCGGGACGCGACGGCCGGACGCTGGACGTGCAGAGCGTGCTCGAGCGCTTCGCGTTCGACAACATCTGCCGTGTGGTGTTCGACGAGGACCCGGCGTGCCTGGCCAAGGACAGCGTGGCCTCGCCCCACATCGCGGAGTTCATGGGCGCGTGCAACGACGCGCAGAACGCCATCTTGGCCCGGTTCAATTCGCCGATCAAGTCACTGTGGCGAGTCAAGAGGCTATTCAACATAGAGTCGGAAAGGCGGTTGCGGGAGGCGCTCGCCACGATCCATGCGTACACCGACCGGATCATCCGGGAGCGCAGGGAGAGAGGGGAGGCACGCGGTGACGACTTCCTGTCGCGCTTTGCCGCGGGCGACAAGCACAGCGACGAAAGCCTCCACGACGTGATCACCAACCTCGTCCTCGCCGGGCGCGAGACAACGGCGTCGGCGCTAACCTGGTTTTTCTGGTTGGTATCCGGCCGTCCCGATGTTGAGGACAATATAGTGCGCGAGATCCGCGCGGTACGGCGTGCGTCCTCGAGCAACGGGGTCACAAGCGGCGCGGCGTTCAGCCCCCATGAGCTGCGCGACATGCACTACCTGCACGCGGCCATCACCGAGTCCATGCGGCTTTACCCGCCGGTGTCCCTCGACACGTACGTCTGCAAGGAGGAAGACTTCCTTCCGGACGGCACGTTCGTCGGGAAAGGATGGCAGGTGACGTACTGCGCGTACGCCATGGCGAGGGTGGAGGACATCTGGGGCACGGACTGCGAGGAGTTCAGGCCGGAGCGGTGGCTGGACGAGGCGGGCGTGTTCCGGCCGGAGAGCTCGTTCAAGTACCCGGTGTTCCACGGCGGGCCGAGGATGTGCCTCGGCAAGGAGATAGCCTACATACAGATGAAGTCCATCGTGTCGTGCGTGTTCGACAGGTTCACACTCCGGTACACCGGCGGCGAGGGGCATCCGGGGCTCGTCACCTCGCTGGCGCTGCGCATGGAGGGTGGCTTGCCGATGCAAGTACTCCTAACCAATAGGGGGCAAGCAGTGTCGTGCTAGGCCAGCTGTTCTCGACGACTTCATTAGTCCTGCTTTTGTTGCGTCGCTCTCGGCTCTCGCCTGTTCTTCTACTGTTAGTCCTTTTATCTTCTCCGAACTACGAATTGTTCACATTTCTGGGAGCTAGCATGAGTTGCATACTGCTGTGCTTGGCTCTGCCATACTAATACTAGTGGATTTTAAACCTCGAGGGAATATTTTCTTATTATTTCTATGTCACTTAAGTAGTTATAAAAAAAATAAAAAGTAACAAGATAGATTAACCTGTGATATATTACTTTACAAACATATAAGCTAAAATTAAAATTTTACAAGTTATAATAAAAACAAATTAAACTATATGGTGAACTAATTGTCGGTATTAGTTCCGAGATTGAGATGTTCACCGAGTGGGCCGGAAAGGCACTCAGACGGCCACACCCTCTATTTCTCCAATTACGTGTTCAACTGTCACATCTCATGCCCCTGTATGGCTGTATTCATCGCCGGATCGCCCCGTCACGCTCAATAGTCAATGTTATTGTTTACGAGTGACCAGTCACACATACAGATTTCGCGTTAACAGAATCACCAGCTAATGACGTTATTCGCTCGGTCTCAAAATTAATTAAGCACTTTGTTTGATATTGCTTGAATTTTTATTACGAACTTTTTATAATTGTTTGTTTAAGGGTTTTTTTTTTCTGAAATGTTTTTTTTCCAAATCCATTATTGTTTAATAAACATGTTCTATTTGCACAATAAAGCTCATGCCCTCTAATTAGTTAGCTTTTTGTTGCATACTTATTGCAGTCTAATCATATAAGAACTAAAAAATGATGCAATGCTTATGCTAATGGGTAATACCTTTATATATCAACATTTTTACAAATATGAATCAACTTTTGTGTAAACATCGATCTAATACTAAAATAGGTTCCTGTTGTTTATTTATTCATGGATTGAGGGGATTCAAAACTATGTTAAATACATATACTTGTAGAGTCCAATTCTAGTGTGCAGTGTAGGAGACAACCCATAAGTGTACGAGGCTAGCGAGAACACAATTATTGGATGGCTAAATATAACTACAAATATATGCGGTTATGTTGAGAGGAACAAATATATGTGGAAACTTAAGATGCCGCTTAAGATTAAGATCTTTATGTGGTACTTGTTTAAGGGGTTGTGTTGACCAAGGATAATTTGGCGAGACGGAATTAGAATGGTAGCTTAAGGTGTTGCTTTTGTATGAAAAATGAAACTATTCAATATCTCTTCATAGATTGTCATTATGCAAAATTCATATGGAGAGCAGTTCAGTTTTCTTTTGGTTTTAATCTTCCAACTAGTATATTTCATATATTTGATGGGTGGCTTTTGGGGGTTGACAAGAAAAAGAGTAAACTGATACTGGTTGGAGCTTCTTCCATTTGTTGGGCTCTATGGTTGAGTAGAAATGATTTGGTTTTTAATAAATCACCATCTATTTCATATATGCAGGTAATTTTCAGAGCAACGCACTGGCTCCGGTTTTGGGCACAACTACAAAGGTGTGAGGATGATGGGGAGTTCCTAAAGGTTGCATGCTGCAAGTTGGAGTCGATGGTTATGCAATTATTTGCCAATTATGGATGGAGGTTCACAAATAGACTTCAATAAATGTGTTCTCCTTATTTTGGCTTGGTTTCCTCTGTTTTTGTTTGGTGTGTCCTATTTAGCTGAACTACGCTCTTTTCTGGATTGCTACAATGTAATAATTGGCTGTAGCTCTTTTTAAGCAAAGGCTGGGATGTTAAATTCCATTATCTAAAAAAATATAACTACAAACATATCATTATCTGGAATGAGCTTTTTATGATTGTTCCCATAATTTCATTTTTTTATAAAATTTTTAGTTAAATATTAGGAATTATGTAATCGAAAGTAACCAACCCACAAATATTTTGTTTAGCTAGCCTGCATTGGGCATGAATTAGTTACAATTAGATTTTATAATCGTTTATCTGAAGCCTATAATGTCTATCCACTTGTCATAATTATCACATATTCTATGAAGTTCTAAAAGACCCTAGAAAATATGTGTTTCAAATATCAGATAAATTATTTGAAAGCTTTTTGCATTTGTAGCATGGAATTTGTTTGGTCACTATACAATCCACTTGCACCTTCTACTCAATATATGCCCTATGGTGACAAAAAGTAAGGACTAGCTGGAGTCAATAGGACTCCTCTTATCCTCTATTGATGCACTATTTTTATCTCATTAAAACTGGTCTACTCAGTGTCTCCCTGCTTTGCTTTCTCTCTCATTCTAGTTCGCGCAAGAAAATTTTTGGGTTCCAAAGTCTAAACAATACATTGTAAATTTTTTCTGTCTAGTAGATGACAATTGTTTGGTGATAATGGTTTTCTTGCACCTCCAAGTCATCATGTTGCATGGTTGTAAAACTTGTATATATGCTGAGACACGGAGATTACCATATGATTCATTGTAGTAGTGTTTACAGTTTCGATCGTGTTTAGTTAATCTTTCTTTTCATGTCTCGGTGTATCGTAACACATAAATGGATTCCAAACTTAATTCTTCAAGTGAATATGTGCATGGTGACATGTTTATAGAAAGTTAATGTCCATATATATGGATGATAAGATCTTTTTAAAGGTTTGTGCACAGAGAAAACATACTTTTTTTTCATACCCGTAAGGTATGGAATATAAGCACATAGCCACCGGCAAGTATATATATATATATATATATATATATATATATATATATATATATATATATGTACCATATACTAAAATGCTATTAAATACCGTCTAATAAAGTAATTTAAATGTTACATAGAATATATTCTAGAGCACTTATGTAGAAGATCGTTTGGCACTCTTCGATTATTTGAGCACATTTTAGAAAACTCATGAATTCGATTGTTTCCTCTAACTGGCAAAACTGCATTTTTCGATCAATCACAAATAAAGATATAAAATTATAATTGTTATGGTAGCTAGAGTCAAAAGCCGACCTTAACCAAATATGTCATTCTGGATATGTATTGGCAGTGAAAACATAAAGTAAACATCGATTGTGCCAATATAGCCCGAGGGGCATTGTATGTATGTACATACGTGCACCATCCCAACATCCACCCCTCTGCCCTCATTCATGCCTTCTCCCCATGTATTGTCTCTCATGTTTTCATCATATATTAATCAGGAACCCTAATTTATTATAATCTTTTTAAAATAAATAACTATTTTTATTGAGGACCCATATTAACTATATTTGAACTTCTAAAATAAATATTGTATTTTTTGTTATATTCTGACTTTTTTTCATATCATTTAAATAATTATTAAAAATATGAAAAAAATCAATGATATATACCTTACCTGTTGAAAATATTTTTGGTGAATTTTCTTTGCATCTATGTATAATTTAGGATTTATTACTATTAAAATACCAACCAAATAATTTTAGAAAATTCCAAAATGATTTGAGAATGTTAATCTTACACAAATTAAAATTTAAATTGGATCTACTTAAAAAAACACAACTAAATTACATGGTTTGCATTTTTACATAGTTCAAACTACCGTTGTATATTTGTTAAGTAATATTTGATACCATAAAGTATATAGTTTGATGTGATTATTTTTGAAAAATTGTTGTGGAGTTAATTAATACATGTGGATGTCATCTTACGCAATGTATTTTGTGCTAAAATATAGTGAATATAAGACATCCATGTAAAATCATAATAAAATAAATGATAATTATGTATTTTTATTAGTAAGATGAATAATCAAACACATGCTCAAAAGTCAATAGCGGAAAAAAGTAATATAAAAATATTTAGGGGTATCCTAGGTTAAAAAATAACAGTAGGGTGAATGGTAAGAAAAAAAAGGGATGAGTACGTACTACCTGCCTACGTACGTACGTGTGAGGTGTTAAGTAATATTTGATACATAAAGTATATAGTTTGATGTGATTATTTTTGAAAAATTGTTGCGGAGTTAATTAATACATGTGGATGTCATCTGCCGCAATGTATTTTGTGCTAAAATATAGCGAATATAAGACATCCATGTAAAATCATAATAAAATAAATGATAATTACATATTTTTATTAGTAAGATGAATAATCAAACACATGCTCAAAAGTCAATAGCGGAAAAAAGTAATATAAAAATATTTAGGGGTATCCTAGGTCAAAAAATAACAGTAGGGTGAATGGGAAGAAAAAAAAAAGGCGATGAGTACGTACTACCTGCCTACATACGTACGTGTGAGGGAGGGTGGAATATGTACGTGTACTGAGGGAGGGAGGGAAGAGTAGATGTACGGGCAGGGACTGGAGAGGAAGGGATAAACTACTGGTTTTAATCTAATCTAATGCTGTAAAATAATGGATCCACCAGTTTAAATGAAAATTGAGGGTTAGATGTTTCTCGTCTATTAAAACGCCACGTGGCGGCTTAGGAGTGTTTATAGGGGTGCCACGTGGCAGTTTAGGAGCGTTTATAGGAAGTTTAATGGACTTTTAGTATATAATAGATAGATAGATAGATAGATAATAGATAGATAGATAGATAGATAGAAGATAGTCAAAACTTTGTCTAAAAAAAATCATAAATTAATTCTAGTGCTTATAAACTAAAACAATTTATATTCTTTACCTGCACCACCAACAATACAACTTTTACATACTCCCTCCGTTTTTTAATAGATGACGCCGTTGACTTTTTCTCACATGTTTGACCATTCGTCTTATTCAAAAAATTTACGTAATTATAATTTATTTTGTTATGGGTTGTTTTATCACTCATAGTACTTTAAGTGTGATTTATATCTCATACATTTGCATAAAATTTTTGAATAAAACGAATGGTCAAACATGTAAGAAAAAATCAACGGCGTCATCTATTAAAAAACGGAGGTAGTATTATATTAAGACAAATTTTGCCATAGAAAATCGCGCCTTCGTGGTTTTAGCAGTAGGACACCGTACGAAGTGAGTTTTGGTGAACACTTTATAAACGCGGTAATTTACTAGCAGACACCACGCTGATTGTTTCAGTGTATTTTGTGCTGACGTTGTGAGAGGGACCTACTTTTATAGTCGGCATGACCAAGATGCCCATATGTGTTTTGGTTACAGTGGCAGACGAGAATGCTAGATAGCGATCAGTCGCGCGCCTCCCTCCCC